ACTCTGACGTTTGAGATTCGTTTTTGGCACTTCTGAGATTGCGGGCTGTTGGCGATTCCCAACCTTCTGCTTCCACCTGCGAAAACATGGAGCATCTGAACTGGAGGATCTGGAGGAACTGCTGGAAGTTATAGAAAGGAACGCGAACCTCCCACGGCCAGAAACATGCCCAAGTGGAGCCATCATCTGCAAGGCTCCTGGAAGTCTGGATCTCTGGTCATTCCATGAAGCACGGAAGAAACGTCTAAAGCTCCATCAAACCGGATCGAACCGTCAGGGCATCGTTGGACCGGAACTCAGACTCCTTGCGACCACGCTCTGCACACCAGTTCCTCCTGGCCTCACCCATACTGGGATGCTAGAATCTGCTAGAAGCTACTAGGTCGGAGGCCGTCGCTAGTAGTTTGGAGGCCATCGCTACAAGGTTGGAGGCCATTACTACTAGCTAGAAGCTTGTGCGTCTTAATAGGGAGACCTCCTGGCCGCTGGGTAGACTGCTCTATTTCCCCTTCTGGAAGAAGGGGAGATCTCCATATTTGAGCTACACCCAAATTGGCAAGGACACTACTAGGAGCAAAAGGGATCGCTACTAGGAGCAAGAACGCTACTAGGGGCTCCTGGCCGTACTACTTCGCTATTAGAAACAATAAATAGAATCAAAATAAGCTACTAGTAACAAGTGCATCGCTACTAGTAACAAGTGCCTTACTAGTAGTAACAAGAAGCTAGTAGAAACAAGAAGCTATATAAATGTAAATCCCTCCGAGGCCCCAACTTCACGTTGGCCAGCAACCACCGACCCTGGCAACCCACTCTCGTCGAAAACATCAACACGTTGGCGTGCGTCGGAGTGGGAAGGCCTGCTTGGGCATCCAGAAGATCCAAAGGCTTGTGATGCCAGGGTCTGGGCACAATCTGCTTTCTGTCTGCAGTCTTCATTCTGTAAACATTCCCATCCACTTACATGAAACAATATGCTTCTTCATGTTTCTTCCCATTGCCTCAATTGCCTCCTTGACACAAAGACTTCTGATAACGGATCTCAGGTGCCAGCCATCTGTGTCCCCAGTCCTGCCGGAGGACAGAGAACGAAACAAGAAGAAACTGTCGAGACTTGAGATCCCAACCTATCAACTAACTAAGGCCGACAATCCGCCAACACAAACCCAAATACTCACAGAAACATTGGAGGCCATCGCCAGTAGGTTGGAGGCCATCGATAGTGGGTTGGAGGCCATCGCTACTAGGTTGGAGGCCATTACTACTATATAGTAATATAAAGTTTTTTGTTACTAGTAATGGCCTCTAGGAGCAAGGACGCTGCTAGGGGCTCCTGGCCTTACTACTAGGAGCAAGGATGCTACTAGGGGCTCCTGGCCTTACTACTAGGAGCGTTCGGACGCTACGAGCTTCTTGTTTCTCAATCTCCCTCCACCTCCGGAAGGCCACCCTCTCGTGCACAAAGCCCGAGCGCCGGAAGCCACACGTGGAGACCGCACCGTCCAGGGCCGGCGCCTCAAAAGACTTCGCAGCCGAAACCGGTGTTTGTTGAGCGCTCTGAAAGGTTCGTGTTCCCCGGTTCTTGTGGGTCTACCTTGTTGTGCGAAACCCATTTTTGTTGGTGGGTTGAATCTCATGAAGGTGGAATGCCCAGCCATGGATAGATATGGAGAGATCGTCCAAGACTTCTTTGATGTGTATTTTCTACTTTTGGGTGGGACAGTATCTCACACAGAGGAATCTTGCCTGTCAGGAACAAGATCCACGATGTCATTGATGGTAGTGGAAACCCCCTACAAACAGTAATTTGTCGCTGAAAGGCTGAAAAGGGCGATTGTGCAATTTCGTGATTGTTGGAGGGAGTGTATACATTGTGTACACATATATATATATATATACTGTATATGTATCCTGTGCATGTTTAAAAAAAGCAATAAATAAAATGGGCAACACGCGGGTGCCAACGCATCGCCGGACAAGTGGTTCGTTATATAGCTTCCAAGGTTGAAACATTGGTAGCCTCACTCCATCCACTTGGCACAAGTAATTGGCAGCAAGTGAGCCCTCAACGTACCGCCTTGACACTGCCCTGGATACATCGTCCAGCAACACAATTCCGTTCCATCATATTATTTATGATCTTTTAGCCCGTGGCCCTGCCTTCTTACTTGATGAAGTAGGAGTAGGCACCTACTTAATTAAGTAAGGGACAACACTCCTAGCTACTTAAGCTACTAGTATGGAAGCAGGATAGCTCACGCTTCTTCAAAGAAGCTCCCTCCGCCAAAAGAGCTTCCTTAAAGAAGCGCTCGCACTGATGATTTGGTTCCTAGATTTTTAGGGATGCTTAAAAGCATCGGGGAGCGCATTCCTTCATGAACTTTGCCAGAACTTGTGAGCCTGTACGATCAACTCCGCAGCTGGCAGCATCAGGCTGAACGCCATCTTCGGCCTCAGAAAAGCATGATGAGTTCCATCTACCCCTGGTAAGCAAAACAAAAGCCACAAACCTTGTCTTCCCTGCAGAACTTTCGCCCAAGGGATCCACTGGTCGAGAAAAATATCGTTTCGGCCACAAACTTGCCAGCCAGTCACCTGAAGGTCAGACGCGTGGCGCCAGCGCCGGCGCCCCGTAAAACCCCAAGACATCAAGAAACTGAAGGCATTCTAATCCATTGCCTGTCTTCTAATCCATTCTAATCTCTTTCTTGCGCATCCTGTCTATGTCACCCACCCCTCCCACCCTCTCCAAACCCGTCCTCCCAAGGCCATCGACCCAGGTGCTGAGCCCTCGCAACAGCCGTTTCCGGCCTCAATCAGGACACTGGATGTCCTTTGAATATCATGCACATCACCAATCGGAGTAGAAGTGTTTCAGAAGTACACTTTGAAGAAAGCTTCCAACCCAGGAATGGAGTGCCTCTTCAGCAAAGTGTTGGGCCGCCATGATCGAACTCCTTGGGTCCCTCATCTCCCGATCTTCTCAGGATCTGGCGCTTCCCCTGGCCGAGAATCGTTCTGAGTGACAACCTCAGCAGCTTGAAGGTCTTCTTTGCTACCAGTCGCATTCAGACGGACATCATAGTTTCACCTTCGAAGTCTTTGGGACCACGGGAGCTCTTTCTAAGCCTCGCACCCACATGGCGCCTTCCAAAGCAATCCTGGTGATGTGTTCACCATTTGTCACCCGAACATCGTTCAGAGTGTAAAATGATCTAACATGTCATATGCATATGAATGATAAAGGTAGATACTAGTTCACAAACGCATTGTGAAAATGCTTGATCCACTTCTGGGCGCAATCCGATTCTCTCGGCATTCCTTTGTTTGCCCCATTCTCCTGGCAGTACCACACAAAGTTGCCGCTGGAGACGCCAGTCCTTGGGGTTCGACCGGTGTTCACTGTTCACTTCTCCAAGCAGAACAAATGGATTTGCCCAACGAGGCATAATTAGCTATTTGAGGGAGCTTCTGTTTGGAGATTTTAAGCCAAGGCATGAACTGTCTGTAGCATGGTCGTCCACTGTGGGCACCAATGTACTCGTAGATGCCATTGATTGCCTGATCTCAGCCAGCCGGTGCGTGCGTTAGCTGCCGCTAGTAGCTTGGAAAACGCAATGAAGGGACGGCGTTCAGGGCAGGTCAAAACAATGCGCCAAAAGCCTGCCTTAGCTAGGTTGGAGGCCATCGCTAGTAGGTTGGAGGCCATTGCTAGGTTGGAGGCCATTGCTAGTAGGTTGGAGACCATTGCTAGTAGGTTGGAGGCCATGGCTAGTAGGTTGGAGGCCATCGATAGCCTCTTGGAGGCCATTGC